ATCATTTAAATTTTTAGTAATTGTTTATTAATTTTATATAATACAATTCCGCAGAATACTGGGATATTGGCGACGCGTCCTACCGTTGCATTCATTGTGGTGCAAGATTTTGGTATGCCGAGCGACTGGGAAAACCATCTAAGCCAAGGGTTCCAAAGTATTCTGGCTGTTGCAGCCACGGATTTATCGAACTTCCAGCTGTTTACACTCCTCCCCCATTTCTGCGTGACCTGATTTTCGGAAGGAGTCCCCGTAGCAAGCACTTTCAAGAGAACATTCGGTCCTACAACAACATGTTCTGTTTTACATCCATGGGAGGGAAGATTGATACCGAGATAAACAAGGGCAATGACCCACCCGTATTCCGTTTACACGGTCAGAACTACCATTTAATGGGCAGTTTGCTACCCGACCATGGTGCTCTTGCCAAATTTGCTCAGTTGTACATCTATGACACAGAGAATGAAATATCGAACCGGCTATCTTCTGTGAGGTACTTATTAAATTGTTTGATTAAAAAATATCTTTTTTTATCGTAATCTTATTCGTTTACATATTATTTTACTAATTCAATTTACTATATTACTTATGTCAGGAGTGGTACTGAAAGAAATAATCTTGATGGAGAGGTAGTTCACGGTTTGAAAGATATGCTCGATCTTTATAATGTTTTGGTTAAGTCGTTCAGAATGGCGCGGGAGAAGTTGAACCAACCCGATCATAGAGAAGTTAAGATGCGACTCATTGGGAAAAGGAATAAAGATGGTCGGCGTTATAATTTACCGTCCACTTCTGAAGTTGCAGCATTAGTTGTTGGCGACTTCGATGATGCTATGGGCAGCCGGGACATCATAGTAGAACATCGGAGTGGACGTCTGCAGCGTATCAACGAGTTGAACGCTTCCTACTTGGCTCTCCATTATCCTATTCTTTTTCCATATGGCGAAGATGGTTACCGAGAGGACATTCCATTCTCTCCCCTAAAGCCGAAAACTGTGAGGTCGAGAAAATTTATCAGTCCTAACGAGTTCTTCAAATATCGGATGCACGACCGCGACTGCGAAGTGTCCTCCATCCTTTTCGCTCGGAGGTTGTATCAACAATTTGTTGTAGACGCTTATACAATGGTAGAGGGATTTCGGCTCAGATACATTCGGTTTAATCAGAAGAACTTGAGAACCGAATTGTACAGCAGACTTTCCGATGCTGTGTTGCACGGTGACACGGATCCTGGTTCTCAGGGCAAACGGATTATAATTCCATCATCTTTTACGGGCGGCCCGCGATATATGATTCAGAACTATCAGGATGCAATGGCAATTTGTCGTTGGACCGGTTATCCTGACATTTTCATAACCTTCACTTGCAATCCAAAGTGGCCTGAAATCGATCGTTTTCTTAATGAGATGAACCTCAACCCATAGGATCGTCCTGATATTATTTGTCGGGTTTTTAAGACCAAGTTGGATGCATTGATGAGAGATGTTCGACATAACAAGATGTTTGGAGATGTGAAAGCAGGTATTTATTCTAACTATTTTTGAATAAATACATATTTTTAATTATATTTTTTGTATTGTATTATTTTTTACCTAAGTATGAACTTATTTGCAGCAATATACACGATTGAATTCCAGAAGCGTGGCCTTCCACATGCGCATATCTTGCTTTTCCTTGCCAAGGAATACAAGATACAAACTACAGATGGCATTGATAAAATAATTTCTGCCGAAATACCGGATGAGGCCACCGATCCGTTTTACTATGCCGCTGTTAGAGATCATATGATGCACGGCCCCTGCGGAAGTGTTCGCCCGAAATCCCCGTGTATGGCGAACGATTGTTGAACAAAACATTTTCCTAAAAAGTTCTCCGAAACAACAACTCTCGACGAAGAAGGCTATCCACGATACAGACGTCGTGATAATGGCAGGACCATAGTAAAGAATGGCATTCCC